CCAAGATTAATAATTTCTAAGACTGTTGATAGAAATTCATAGTGGCTTTGAATATTATGCATTAGCATTAAGTTCAAATTGTCAATTAAGGTTTTGGGACGATATACAACTTCTCTGGTGTTTTGGAATTGACTAGTTAAGCTTTGGTAATAGTGAAAATTGGTCATAATGCACTGGTTGTTAGAGAAAAAAGTCATTTTTTAGTCATTTTTTCTCGATACATCGATGATTTAAACATTCTAAAATAGTCTATATGGTTGTGATGATACTGTTTCTTTTATCTTGTATCAGAGATATCCATCGCAACTGAAAACTTGCTATGATACACATATCTACCTTGTGTATTTCTAAAAGTTTCAAGATATTATGATTGTTTTTTAACACTCATCATGAAGCAAGACTATTTACTTCAATTTTGTTTTAACAAGTTAACACTAACCTTCATCGAGGAAGTATAAAAACATCAATTGAAAAAAATTTGGAAGAACTTCTCGAATATTTCCTCAGAATACATAAAAGGAATAATACCAGATGTCTCAAAACGTTTGCACACTTATTATTTTGCATGTATCTCAGCATGGATAAATGATAGAATCTTGATTTTTTTTCAAAAGATGTGCTATGAAAAGCTCTACAAAAAAATGCCCGAAAAAGTCCCTATTAACGTGTTCTGATGATTTTTCCTTATACCCAAAATGAAACACACATTTTAGTGCTACTTTCTACTATCTTTAACATAAAAAAAAGGTTGGAAGACCTTTTTTATATTGAAATAAGAATTTGTTCATACAACTTTTGTAGAGCTTTCAACGCCGCATATTTTGAAAAAAACCAAGGTGATATCATTTTTTGAAGCCAAGATACACGCAAAATAAAAAAAGTTTTTCAAACATGTTTATCATATTAAATACGGTGAAAAGTAGCATTACCATGTAACTTTTTTTATTTCGAGTATGGAAAAACTATCAGAATAAGTCAATGGGGATTTGTTTTTACAGTTTTTGTAGAGCTTTTCATCGAGCATCTTTGGAAAAGAAAATCAAGATTTTATCATTGGTCTATGCAGAGATATTCGCAAAACAAACTATGTTGTACACATTTTGGAACATCTGGTAGCAACGTCATGAGAGACCATCACTTTTAATCATCTAGAAAAACCATCAGGGCAAGTCAATATAGATTTGTTCGTACAGCTTTTGTAGAACTTTCGACCGTACATCTTTTGAAAAAAAATCAAGATTTTATCATTTATCCATGTTGAGATATATACAAAATAAAAAGTGTGCAAGCATTTTGGGATTCCCGGTATATCTTCAAAGAAGACTAACTATCTTGAGATCAACATTGTTTATTAAGTTATAAATGATTAGTAAATTTTGACCATAATGTATTGATTTTGTATATTAAAAATTTATATACAAAAATACCTGTTTTTAATTAAATTCTAGATCTATTTTTAGACTATATGGAAATGTGTCTAATTTTGTGTAATGAATGAATTAAAAATATCATTTCGAAAATCACACGAAACATTCTGTAGCACTCGAAGGTAAAATACAAAACTTCTTTTATATTTTTCAGAAGAGTCGAACGTTTTATCAACAGTAACTTGTTGTAGAGAAACCTTAGTTTTTTTCTTAGCCCATTGATAACAATATCAAAAAAAAGTAGAAACATCTGTATCAGAAAAAATTAATCATTCTTCAATAGCATCATCCACAACAAACTTTTTCGTAACATCATCATTATCATCAAGTGATATACTTCTTTCAACGGTTAAAAATAAGTATTGGTCGTCTTTTATTAGAATTAACTGAAGTCCTTGAAAAATGTATATATAATGTATATGAACAAGTAGCACTCACTTCCGCCAATTACCTTAAGTAATTGTTAACTTTTCTTTTTTAATTTAATAAACTTATTTTTATCACACTGTTAAATTCGTTTTTATTATATATAAATCTACATGTCTTCAATGACCTAATCGTTTCATATTTTAATTATCTTAACCGCTATATGAAGTAATCGATATAAATCATCAATACGAAATTTTCCTTTAGATAATTAATTTAACCAAACGCATCAAGAAATTATTTGAAGGGTATGATCTACCAATGGATGGTAGGTTACATAAGATTCAAAATATAATAAAAACGAAATAAGTGTCATTTATCACCATTTTTGCAAGAAATATACTTGATTTTGAATGACAATTACCACTAATTCTGGTCTTTATCCAAAATAAGAAACATCAGATATGCGTATTCAAATGAAAAGATCGATCAACTTCTACTTCAGACATGTATCGTTAACAATTAATAAAATTGTAGTTTTTTTAGTACATGGTCAACTCATATGCAATCAATGTACTGTTTTTAATACGACAGAAAGAGATGATTGGTTGAAGCATGTACGAAAATATCATTACTCGGAATTCGTCCGTTTAGTCCGGGAGAGAGAAGGTTGTCAAAAGGCTCTTAATGATCAACCACTTGCCAATATATCAGATAATGAAGTAATATAATTGCTTAAAAAACTTTAATAAAAAAGTGTTTGGATATTTTTTGTATCGTTTAGGATGATGATGATGATGATGATGGTGATGAAACTGCTAATACTGGTACACCACGTTTTGAATTTGATGCTTTAACAGCTAGTACAGATTCACGTCGTCTTGCTTCTCAACGACGATTTCAACCAGGTCATCCAGCATCGGGTACAATTTCACGTGATTTTATTTCTTAACAATTGGAACAAAACCATCATGCAACAGCAAGCACATATCCAGGTGACTTTATTCCTCAACAATAATTGCAGTTTGGTAATACAACAGCTGATCCACTTCAACAATCTCAAGTTCGTGATAAGACTATCGAGAAAGTTGGGAAATGTTTTTAATTTGTGAATGCTTTCTCCCTGAGTTTATGAGACATTCTTCTCTTTCTGAATAAAACCTAGCGAAAGCTAAGTTTTTTTTTGAACTGAACAAATTCAACTACATGGGTTTTTTTTAGAAAAGAAAAATTTCATTATATGAATTTTTTTTTCTAGTCATTAGGCAATGCATAATAGAAAAGAAAATTGTTAATAAAAATATGATCATCATTGACCTGTCGTGTCATTATACATATTGACTGAAACAGACTAGACGAATCAAAAGTGAATTAATAAAGGCATGGGCGGGCCGGCATAGGGGCGAGAGGGGGCAATTGCCCCCCTAAAAAATATTTTTTGGCTGGGACTTAAGAAGAATGCCATGAAAACAAGCGTTTTTAAGCGAAAAAGTGCTTATTGACCCCCCTGAAAATGATGGTCCGGCCCGCCAATGAATAAAGGTGATTAGTGGTGTTATTACGTAGAAACATCAGTCACATCTCTTAATTCACATTGTTGAATTCGTCTAGTCTGTTTCGGATCATATTCTATTCCACAAATATCACCATCTTCTTTTGACATTTCTCATTGTTATCGTGAAGCATTTATATATTTAACTATACAGTCTAGGAAATAAGTCGAATATGTCAGAAAAAGAGGTAGTTATTGATCAAGCAATAGGTTTTATATTTGCCATCTTAACTACTTATATATATTTTTTTTTTTATAGGTTTCACAAACTGAACGGAAAGCACAAGCGATCAAACTTATGAATGATTGGCTAGCAAATCTCATTACCAATGAAGAATATATCAATACTATGAATCAACTTTTTGTTTAATGATAATAACAAACATAAACTGATAATTTTCTGTCCATGTTGAATGCCATTGTCAAAACTTCAAATTTTTCTTTCTTTTTCTCATTCACTATCATACTCAGATATGTTTTTTTTCCTTTCGTTATGCTTAAATATAACTTTTCGTATTGATCATCATGTAAACTTTTATTTATCTTTGGTTATTATAAAAAATTTGTCATCTTATTTCCGATGTCATCTATTATTACTCATCCATGAATAGTCGTGATCGATTCATTTATCTCAGTTTCATATGGTGAAAAATCTTCATCACCTATTACCATTAATGATTCATATTTTTGACTTGAAAATTCTGATTCTCAAGGAACAACTCAATTTGTTTCAGATCAAAATGTAACTAGTCAAATTTATTTAGATAAAATTTTTTATCGAACAACAACTTAAAGAAATATTTAATATTTCAAGATATTCATGTCCATCAAAACAACCACATGAAAATATTATTATTTTACAAATATAGGTCTTCAAAATCAAGATACTTATTATGAATTAGATACATCATCAAAATCGACTTATCAAACATAAATTTTAATTGATGAAAGCTAAGGACTGTAAGGACAAGAATAATGACTTCAGTGTTTGCATTCTCATTTTTGACGCGAAACAGTAAATGAATAGCTATGATTTCTATACATGATTAGTATCTATTACTTCTTCTCATTTTTACTCTACATAGGTCATTCATTGTGGGTGTGGATGTGAATAGAGGAAAGAAACACCCACACCCACATCCACACCCATCCACCCACACCCCCAAGTTGGAGACTGATGTTAAATTCAAATCATTGTCCTCATGAATATTTGTGAATGAAAATTAGCTTTTTACTGAATGATTCAGCAAAAGCTAGTAGTTGCAATCATTGGCAAAATAATCTTTATAATATCACATCCTTATCCCCTAATCACATTAAAATATGTTTCACTAGTACTACAAACTAAATCAGATAATTATTTCGTCAATGATTGTTTAAAAAATACTCAAGAAAATCACTTGATATGTAGGCAAACAGAAGATTAAAGAAATATTTTTATGAAAGTTAATTTTAGATAGCGTGACTGTGAGATAAAATAGAATATATAGGGTGTAGATGTATATCAAAAGAACACATATTGATCTTCAAAATATATGAACACGAATGCACAATATTTAATTGTATTGATGAATGTTTTCAATGACATATAAATATGAATTTATCTTTATTGTCTGAGTCAGTTTATCTGTTTATTTAGTGGAAAAAATAAGAATTTTTATTTAGGATGTAATATCATATAAATGCGCAAATGAAAATAAATTCTTCTTGTAAGAAAATATTTGACATAATAATTGAGTTTAAAGAAATTTCAATTATTTTCTCAGATGAAGCTTAAATTAATATTGAAATCATGTTTAGATGAAAACCACATTGGTTCTTAGGTAAATTCTATATGAATGAATCATAACAAAAAGTTTTAAAGATATTAAACATAATATTAATAATTGAGTTTGAAGAGAACAAATGAATGAAGAACACTTCTATGTAAAATATATACTTACGATAAATGATCTTCGGATTATATATTGCAATATCGTTAATTTTATTTAATATGATTAAGAATTAAACATGATTAATTATTTGTGTACTTAACAGGAATCATATACAAGTTTGCTACGAAATATTTCATTCGTTGATGTTATTTTTTTTTGTTTAAATTTATCTACTTAGATGAGGAAACAAATATATTTATTAGTTGGCATATTCATTTAAAAACTAACCTTATCCATAAATAAATGTTTTTTTCTGTAAATTAGTCAATTTATTTATTTTTGAACTTTTTCCTTTCTTGTCTTTTTTTTAAATTCTCGCTGAAATTTTTCCAACCAATATAAGTTTTGAAGGAAGTAGTTCGATTGATTCATGTTCATTTATTATTGTAATTAATCGACTAATATCAATGAAAACCACTAAGCTATCTCTTTCATTTAAAAGTTTTTTTTTTCTTCAAAAAGATTTGTAGGTTTCTATAACAGAAAAATGAATGTATTTATTTTTGTTTGAGTTTAGTATTGATTTGTCTATATATTAATAGATTATATCATACATTTTATCTAAACAAACATTTTCAATTGAATTCTATTGATATCTCTACAAGATTACGATTAATAGATCAAACAAATAACATGTTAGATTATTAATACAAGGTAACGCTCATCCTATAGATTCGATGATCCTTTTCTAAAAGAAAACTTAAAAAAGTTCTGAAGAATTTGTCGACAAAAAAAACATATTCACTTTTAGTTTATGGATCACATATTCTTATGAATAAATGTATAGCATTTCCTTCATCAACATAAGTGAATCGCATCACCATTTTTATCCTGCAGTTTTAGGCATGAATGTGGGTCTGCACGAAAACACAGAAAAGATCAACGTTCATTTGTGTTTATCTCCTATTTCTGACTGATATTCATCATATCCAACGCAATCTAACAGTTACAGTAATACCCTCCTACATTTGAATCTAAAAAACTTGTCAATCAAACGCTACATAGCAAAATATGCGATCGGCTCATTTTTCAGTCTGAACGAATACGAAATGAGAAGGAATTCGAAATCTGATTTTTTAGGATAGAAAAGTAAAAAAAACATACATACACTTTTCATCTAACAGTCTTTTCTTGCAATTAACGAAATATGTCTTATGACACGAAGCAGAAATGTCAACTACTACTTTTTACATAAACCACTGCTTTTATATTCTAACTCAAAGAATAGTAAGATATTTTAGGGCATCTTCGAACAAACCTTACAATGTGATAGAAAGATCAAAAAACAAAAAGGAACTACTCTGAAGGTATTAAAAGCTCATATACAAGAGTCAGAGCAATTTTAATCGCACTCTAAAACATTTAAGAATCCACATTTTCCTTGACTACATGATTTTATCAAAGGCGAGAAAAACATCGAAGTTATGATAAATCTCCGGATGATAAGAATTCTGCATAGTTCGGTTTGAGTACCATCAATTTAAGCATGAAACATTGGACAGATCTTTCTGAAAAAAAAGAATATAAACGTGTTTTAAATAATAAAAACTATGAGAAAAAATTTCAAGATTTAAATTGTGAATTAACTCAATATTCAAACGATCTCAATTTTGGTATTGGATTAACTAATATGAAGATGAATAAGAAGACAGATGAATTTAAAAAGAATTTTCAATATTCAAAGTTATCAAAGATAGCTAATAGGGATTAAAATATTGGAATAAGAAGTCGAGACGTTATAATGATTGCCATTCGGTGGTCACAGAATGTCGCAAGAACTACATGTACTTCTCAATTAGGACAAGCAAATATTTTTGTTTCTGGTTTATGGAAATATCAATATAATCAATGGCATAGATCCTGTCAACATCCAACTTTCTTTAATTCAATAACAAGAACACTCTATAGCTACGGTCAAGATAATGTTGACCAATATATAGATTGAGTGGATCATTCTCAGAAATAACTGAACGAATTGAAATGATTCAACGTTATTAAATAAGTCTAAGTTTATCGACTAATGTTTTCATTTCTTTCGAATATGATCTCATTTTTAAAATAGATTGGTACTGGAAATCCGAATTGAAATCTTGACCATCAAGATCTTATTAAACTTAGCTGAAATGTATCAAGAAAAGTCTTCGAAGGCATTTCATATTCACAAGTTGGAGGAGAATATATACCAGGAGCACTTGTCGAAATGTCGATTATCTAACAAAAAAACACATCCTTCATTTTGAACTACTCCAAATATTTTTATAATTTATTGTTTATTGAAAGAAATAAACAAAACATTTGGTAACAATGATGATTTTACAATTTTATCATATGATTAAAGCCAAAGACGAAATCTCGATATTTCAATATTGATTTGACTATTAGGAAAACATTTTTGAACCATAGAACGATAAGATTCAACTTTTTCTTGATGAATTTCACCATGAATATCGAGAAAAGCAAATTCTTTCAATTGTTTCATTAGCTGACAAGGATCTTGTTCAAAAATGTTCATGTGTTCATCTAAATAAAAACCAGAAAAAAAATTCTATTTGTATAAATATCGTGGTTCAAAATCTGGTTGAAATTTTAAAAAAATAAGAGATCAATAGAAAATTTACTTTAGGAACAAATAACTTTCGAATAGTTCAGTGGAGTCAAAGTAACAGTTTTGATGTCTTAGAAAGATTTTTAAATATCTAATTTCATGCTTCACTATGCAAATCAGTTGATTATCACAGATGATTTATGCGCAATCTTAAATTAAAACAAGAATGTTAGGATCATTATCTTTTTATGTTGAAAAAGTAGAATCAGAAGTTAGAAAGAACCAAAATGAAATGTCAAATACTGTCTTTTCATGACTATGGAAAAGATGATTGTGGTACAAGAATAATAATACATATTTCGATCAACTATTCAAGAAAAGTGAATTGTAAATAGTTTTATTTAAATCTCTTTCTCGGAATATATTTTCGATAGATTTAAAGGACTCAAAATGGGAACATTTATCGAACAAGAACCCTTATATTTTGAACATATTGTTTTATGGGTCTGATTATGATATTTGATGGTGAATATTCATATAAAATTTACATACTAGATGTCCATGGAAAGTCATCTGATCGCCAAAGACGTAATGTTCGTAAATGAGGCATATAAGTACTAAGAAAAGGTACAAGATTTTTGCCAATACGAATTTGTTCGTTTAAACCAATATGACAACTAGGAATATAAAATTCAACATATTGAACACTATTTAATGCGTTTTTTTCTTAATTCATCGAATGCCTAAAAGTAAAATAAAAATAAAGAAAAAAGAGTAACTGATACAAAAAAAATAATTTCATACTCGGCATTTTTATTTCTTCATATATGAATTAGCAGTCAAATATCTACTTACATATTGAACAACATGTAAAAGCCATTCAAATTGTTCGATTCGAAGATCCTTCAATTCAACAGTCATTGAAATAAGATGAGCCAGTAGTTTTGCACGTGCTTTATTTCGCTCAATCAATTCATTGAAACTTCCTTAAAAAAGATTTTATTGATTTTTTTTTGATCATTTAAAGTGAAAACAATATTTTATGTTATGAGAAGAATGTTCTTTTCAGGGCGCCGTGTGGAATGGGATATTTCCAGGTCATCCCATAGAACAAGTAGCTTTTATTAAAAACTATTTTCCTTATGGAGAACAAAATGCTAACCTTGATATAGATATTTTCTTGCTTGTTCGAGCGAAACAAGTATAGAATAGAATTTCTCTTTATTTTCAATATTTTCTCTGTTTAGATGGAGAGCGGTATGATGATTTCACATTGTAAAAGTGAAGAGAAGAATTATGAATTACATCTAACCGCGCGAATAAACGAAATCTAAAAGAGACTCTGTACTGTTAGAAATGTTCAAGAACTCTGCATAGAAAGTTTTCAAGCTAATATAAATTTGGATGCAACACACCTTAGAATGGGATCCAAAGAGATCAAGTCTCTGGCTTCACACATGTTTTTCTAGTTATGTTACTAACTAGACTCAGTTTGATACTTATATTTACTTAGGTCTGACCAAAAGTTCTGCAATCGTTATTGGCAATTGTATAAACCAATCAAAATTCAAGAGGTTGTTGCATGGATAAATAGTGGAATGTCTTGTCTATAATAATATATATAGTAAATCTATTTTGGACTTAGTTATAGTACTTTTTCAGATAAACTTTCGTTTGAACCAAAAA